TGAAACCTCCCTGCCTCCTCCCTCTCCCACTCCCTCCAAACAACCTCCTATCTGTTCTCTTGTCATATCAACTTCAAGGAATTGTAATTGTTGTGTCTTCTTCCCCCCCCCCCAGTTTATTTGTGTATTTATTTATTTATTTATTTTTAGCTCCCACAAATAAGTGCTGCATTTCATATGTTAGAATACAAAGTCCACTTAAGATAATATTGCTGTACTTGATTTTCTTAAGTGCTGAGAACAATTTTATAGGTAGTTAGATGACTTATATGTTATTGGGTTTGTTTTCACGTGTATAGAATCAATACGGAAATATCAAATGCTATTAAATGTATTTTCCTAAAACATCTTTTTAAATAGCTGATACACAGCTCTTGCCGAGTGCTTCACTTTTTCACTAGGAGTAAGAGACTTCTCGCAGCCAGTTTGTTCACTTTCACAACCCAGCACGCATCTTTGCGATTGGCCTGGATTTTACAGAACCTGACAGAGGTAAGAAAAGAGTGTATATGTAGAAATGAGATAAGACTATTGGAAAGAAAAATATTCAAAGACTAAAGATAGTAATTTAATTATTTGAGGAAAAAATTGTGTCCATTATGTATTGGGATGGAAGACAAAGCATCTTTACTTGGTTCATTTTTTTAAACCTTTTTATTGGGTCTTAACACATCTAGAAAGGTGAACAAAACAAAAATGTACTGCTCAGTGATATACTGTGGAGCAAATGTCTGTGTAAAACCTCCTGGATCAAGAACTAGAACACTGTGATACTTTATATCACATTTTCTTTCTACTTTTACAATTTATGTGTTTATTCCTCAACACTGTACTTTAGTTTTGCCTGAACATATTTTTGAACTTTATAAATTGAATTGCACAGTTTATATTCTTTTGTGTCAGATTCCTTTTATTCAACATTATGTTTGTGAAATATACCCACGTTGTATATAAACTAATTTGCTTGTATTCATTGCTATTTACTGTTCAATATATGATTTTACTACAGTTTATCTGTTCATGTACATTTGAGTTTTTTTCTAGTTTATTACGAATAATGCCATCTCTTAGTGTTTCTCTACATATAAATGCTGCGTCTATGCATAGGAATGGAATTTTTAGGTCATGAACATGCATATATATTCACCTTTAGTGGATAATGTCAAAACACTTTTCCAAAGTGATTATAACAACTTACATACCCACTATCAGTGATGAGAGAACTTTTAAAATTTCATTTACCATAGTGATTGATATTATCGGTCTTTTTTTATTTTGGCTATTCTAGGGGGTAAGTAGTGTTATCTCATTGAGATTTTAGACTGGATGAAAAAACAAGATCCAACTAGGTGCTGTCTACAGGGAACACACTTTAGATTTTAAAAAATACAAACAGGTTAAAAGTAAATTGGCAGAAAATATATATCATGTAAACAGTAACCATAAGAAGTTGGAGAGGCTATACCATATCACACGAAAGTCTAGTATTACTCTTTAAAACAAAAAAAATTATTAGAGATAAACGGAATTTTATAATGATAAGAAGGTCAATCCATCAGGAATATATAACAATTATAAACACATATGCACCTAATAACAGAACCCCCAGATATATGAAACAAAAAACTGACAGAATAGAAGGAGAAAATTGATAATTAAACAGTAATAGTTGGAAACTTCAGTACCCCATTTGCAATAATGAATAGAACAACTAGGTAGAGATCAAGAAATAAAAACTAGACCTTGGGGCTGGCCCGGTGGTGCACTGCTACAGTGCGCCGCTTGGGAGCGCGGTGGTGCTCCCGCTGAGGGTTCGGATCCCACATACAGACCGGTTCCCGCTCACTGGCTGAGCGAAGTGCGGGCGCAACACCGAGGGTTGCGATCCCATTGCCGGTCCCGGCCCGGTACGGGCATGACACTGAGGGTTGCGGTCCGTTGCCGGACACGAAAAAAGACAAAAAGGAAAAAAAAAAAAACAAAAAACTAGACCTAACAGACATTTATAGAAAACTGTACCAAGCAACAGCTGAATACATATTTTTCACCAGTACACATGGAACCCTCTCCAGGATAGACCATATGCTAGGCCATAATACAAAACTTAATAAATTTAAAAGGATTGAAATTAAACAAACTATGTTCTCTGACTGTAAGGGAGTGCAATTAGAAATAAGTAACAAGAGGGCCGAGCCCGTGGCACAATCGGGAGAGTGCAGCGCTGGGAGCGCAGCAGCGCTCCCGCCGCAGGTTCGGATCCTATATAGGGATGACCAGTGCACTCACAGCGCTCACTGGCTGAGCGCGGTGCAGCCGGTCTCAAAAAGGACAAAATAATAATAATAATAATAATAAAAATAAATAAAATAAATTAATTAATTTAAAAAAAAAAGAAATAAGTAACAAGAAAACTTCAGAAGTTCAAAAATATGTGGAAATTAAATAGCACACTTTTAAATAACCAATACATCAAAGAAGAGATCATAAGAGAAATTAGGAAACACTTTGAGATGGTTGAAAATGAAGACACAACATACCAAAACTTATGGGATGCAGATAAAGCAGTGCTTAGAGGGAAATATATAGCAAGACTATATTGCATATAGAAGACTATATTTAAAAAGGAGAAAAATATTAAGTTAGTAATCTAACATTCTACCATAAGACACTAGAAAAAGGTGAGCAAACTAAATTCAAAGCAAGCAAAAGGAAAGATAATAAAGATTAGAGTGGAAATTGATGAAATAAAGAATCTGAAAACCACTAAGAAAATCACCAAAACCAAAAGTTGGTTCTTTGAAAAGATTAGGTAGACTGACCAAAAAAAAAAAAAAAAAAAAAAGGAAGGAAGAAAGAAAGAAAAAGGAAAAGACCCAAATAATTATTATCATGAATGAAAGAGTGAGAGGACATTAATGCTAACTTCACAGAAATAAAAAGCATTAATAGGCAATTCCATGAGCAAGTGTATTCTGACAAATTAGATAACTAAGATAAAATAGAAAATTATCTAGAAATACACAAAGTACTCAAAATGATTCAAGAAGCAATAAACAATAAGTCTATAACAAATAAAGAAATTGAATTAGTAAGTGGCAAATTCCCACCTAGGCAAGCCTAGGACTTGATGGCTTCTGCCAAAGGTTTAAAGAAGAATTAACACCAGTCTTTCACAATGGAAGAGGAAGGAATACCTCTCACTGTAATCACTTCTTACTAATCAGTATATTAGGCCAGGATTGCCCTAATGCCAAAATCAAAGACATCACAAGAAAAGAAACCTACAGATACTCCTTATGAACATGAATTCAAAAATCCTCAACAAAATACTAGCAAATAAGTTAAATCTACTATAAAAAGGATTATACATCTTGAAAAAGTGGGATTTATCCCAGGGAAGCAAAGTTGGTTTAACATTCAAAAATCAATTAATATAGTATACTGTATCAATAGAAGAAAGAACAAAAACCACATGATCATGTCAGTAGATGCAGAAAAAGCATTTGACAAAATCTAACACCCCTTCATGGTAAAAACACAAAACAAACTAGGAATAAAAGGAAGAAACTTCCTCATCCTGATCTATGAGTATGACAATCCCATAGCAAACACCATGATGAAAGACTGAATGCTTTCCCCCTAAATTCAGGAACAAGACAAGGATATCTACTCTCCATGTCTAATTAACATTGTAATGGAGATTCTAAGCCAGGGCAATTATGCAAGACAATGAAATAAAAGGCATCTAGATTGGAAAGGAAAGAGTAAAACTATCTCTATGATATAGATGATGTGATCTTGTATATAGGAAAACCTAAGCAATTTCTTAAAATTTATTGGAATAAATGATTTCAGCACAGTTGCAGGGTACAAGATCAATATGTAAAAATTAATTGTATTTCAATACACTATCAGTGAACAATTCAAAAGTGCAATTAAGAAAACATTTCATTTATAATAACATCAAAAAGAATAAAATACTTTGGAATAAATTTAACAAAAGGGCTGCAAAATTTATACTCTGAAAACTATAAAATATTGTTGAATGTAAATAATGAAGGCCTAGATAAATGGAAAGACGTCCTATATGTGAGGATGCTTCAAAAAGTCCATGGAAACATAGAATTAAAAGTTAATACGAATGTTTCCACGAACTCTTTGAAGTCCCCTTGTACATGAATTCAAATATTTAATATTAATATTGCACTAATCTCCAAATTTATCTATAGATTCAACACAGTCCCTACCGAAATCCTAAGCACTTTTTTTTTTTTTTGCATCAGACAAGGTGATCCTAAAATTCATATAGTTATCTGAGGAACCTAGAGTAGCAAAAACAATCTTTAAAAAGAGACAGAGTTAGACAGCTCAGCTTTCTGGTTTAATTGTGGCTTTAATTTGCATTTCCCTAATTACTAACAAAGTTGATCATCTTTTTATGCACTTATTGGCCATTCATATATCATTTTGTGAAGTACCTGTTTAAGTCTTTTGTCCATTAAAAAAATTAATATAGTCTAATTTTTAGAGCAGTTTTAGGTTTGCAGAAAGTATAGAGAGTTCCCATATATGCTCACACTCCAACACAGTTTTTCCTGTTATTAGCATCTTGCATTAATTTGGCATGTTTTTTACAATTGACAAACCAATGTTGACCAAATTATTATTCATATAAAGTATCTACCATTACAGTATCAAACACAATAGTTTCACTGCCCTAAAAATCCCATTTGTTTCACTTAATCATCCCTCTCCCCAATACTCCAAACCCCTGGCAACCACTGATTTTTTTATTGTCTCTATAGTTTTGCATTTTCAAGATTCATGTGGTTAGAATCATACAGGATGTAGTTTCAGAGTGGTTTCTTTCACTTAACAATATGCATTTAAAATTTCTCCCTGTCTTTTTGTGGCTTGACATCTCATTTCTTTTTATCCCTGAACAATATGCCATTGTCTGGAGGAAGCACAGTTCGTTTATGCAGTCACCTATTGGAAAAGCGTCTTGATTGCTTCCAATTTTCAGTCATTATGAATAAAGCTGCTATAAACTTTTGTGTGCTATAAACTTTTCATATAGACATAAATTTTCAACTCATTTGGGTAAACACATAGGTGTGTGGTTGCTGGATCATATGGTAAGATTACAGTTAGCTTTGTAAGAAACTGCCAAACTATCTTGCGAAGTGGCCATACCATTTTGCATTCCCACCAACAGTGAATGAGAGTTCCTATTGCTCCATATCTTTGCCAGCATTTGACAATGTCAGTGTTTTGGATTTTAGCCTTTCTATTAGGTGTGCAGTAGTAAAGTATCTCATTGTTTTAATATGTGTGTAGTAGTATCTCACTGTATGCAATTCCCTAACGGCATGTAATATAGAGCATATTTTCAAATGTTTATTTATCATCTCTACATCTTTTTTTGGTGAGGTGTTTGTTCACATCTTTTGCTTACTTTTTAAATATTTAGTTTTTAGATGTTATTTTATTGATCAGTTTTAGGCTTACAGAAAATTGAAGGGAAAGTAGAGTTCCTATATTCTCCCTCACACCCACCACCATCAGTTTCCCCTATTATTGACATCTTGCATTAGTGTAATATGTTTGTTACAACTGGTGAAACAATATTGATGCATTGTTATTAACTAAAGTCTGTAGTTTACGTTAGGGTTCACTTTTTATGTTGTACATTTTAAGGGTCTTCACAAATATGTAATGACATTTATCCACTATTCTAGTATTATGTACAATAGTTTCACTGCCCTAAAGTCCCCCTATGCTCAACTTTGTCTACATTCCGTCTGCCTTTTTTCAAGATTTTCTCTTCATCTTTGGTTTTCTGCAGTTTGAATGTGATATGCCTAGGTGTAGACTTTTTAATATTTATCCTGCTTGGTGTTTTCTGAGCTACTTGGATCTGTGGTTTAGTGTCTGTCATTAATTTTGGAAAATTCTCAGTCATTTTTAGATAAAATATTTCTTCTGTTCCTTTCTTTCTTCTTCTTTCTGATATTCCCATTATATATATGTTACCTTCTTATAATTGTCCCACAGTTCTTGAATTTTGTTTTCCATTTTTCCTCATTTTTTTCACATCCCTGGTGTACTTATTTGTATGTATGTATATATGTGAGCTAGACATATTTTCACAATCGTATGTAAAAATCATGAGTGCTTTGGGGCTGGCCAGTTAGCTCAGTTGGTTAGAGTGCAGTGTTGTATAACACCAAGGTCAAGGGTTTGGATCCCTGTATCAGCCAGTTGCAAAAAAAAAGAAAAAGAAATTATGAGAGCTTTAACATAATGCTGTCTTGCTCTAGATAGGATTTACATTTCTTTCTCCCATTCTTCCAGGCACCAGGATTATTTCAATCTGGTTTAATAACTGAGATGATTCAAATCTGAGTTGCAGGTCCTGTGAGAGCCGTCCTTCTGGTTTACCCTTACTTTTAGGGTAGAACCATTTGGAGTCCTAATTCAGGGCAAGGGGATCGACCTTGTTCCTTCTGCCATAGGAAGCCCTGATATCTACTCTTTGTCCCCCTCATCTCACAAGGGCCTAGCACCTATCAGAGGGCCTGGCTCATAAATATTTTTCGAACAGACAAATGAACTTACTACCTGCCAGGCATTGTGCTACTCTCTGAAGTATAGATTAACATTTAGCTATTGAAAAAAGTTGAATCTGGAACAAATTTTAGAATAAAAATTTCTAAATTTAGCAGGAGTTTGGAATATAATAATAGTACTTTAAAGCATTTAAGTGGTATAACTCTTGAATAGAATCTTCAAAATACTTGTTATAAATAATCTACAAATGATTCTCTTTTTTGGAACTCATGTTGTCATTTTATTAATCCTTTCTACTATTGAAGTATAATTAGTCTTTAATGTTTCTGTTTGCTATTCTTTTCATTTCAGGTATTTACTTAAGCATTTTTTTTAAACATCTGCTATATGCCAGGAATCTTCCTAAGTATTGGGGTTGTAAATATGAATGAAATTTTGTCCCTGCCCTTAGGGAACTCAGGGTATGGTAGAAAAGCACTGGTGCTGTGAGATAATGGCTCTCTGGAAGACAGCCGCAGGGTGCTGCAGACTGAGTGTGGAGGAGTGGGGGTCGGGGTAGGGCTGAGCAGAGCCAAGAATCACTAGTCTGGAGGACAAGTAAAGAGGTGGAGAGGTAATAGAGCATGCTTCAGGAAATTGTTTTCCAGTGTGTTAATAACATCCTAGCCAACATTTCAATTTCTCTACTAGCTAGTCTAAAGAGATTCTGACACTCTTATTCCCCTTGGCATGCTTTAGGCCAGGGACAAGCAGTTTTTTCTGTATAGGTCAGATGTGATGTTTTAGGCTTCGAGGGCCATAATGCTTTTGTCATGACTACTCTGTCATTGTAGCACAACAGCAGCCATAGGTAATTCATAAGCAAATGAGCATGGCTGTGTTCAATAAAACTTATGTATGGATGCTGAAGTTTAAATTTCATATAGTTTTCATGTGTCACAAAATACTCTTCTTCTTTTAGTGTTTTTTTTTTAAACCATTAAATTAAAAAAAACCTTCTTACCGTGTACAAAAACAGGCAGTGGGCTGGATTTGGCCCATGAGCAATAGTGTGCTACCCCAGTGTTAGGCTATATGAGTGTATTTGTGTGTCTAAATAAAAATATATATATACTTTGCTTTTGTTTTTAATCACAAAAGTAACACGTTTGGTGTAAAACTGAAGATGTTCAGAAATACTACATAAAAAGTGGAAGTCTCCCTCCCCTCTTCCCCCGCACTAAATCTCATACCCTGTAATAATGGATGGAACCATTTGGAATATATTCTAGAAATTGTTTTTTTCTATGCACATATCCATTTTTACCAAAAAAAGGGTTTATATCTACTAATCTGCACTTAATCATGCACTTTATAATTTAGTGTTTTTTTTAAATAAAATAATTTAGCCTTTTGAATTGATTTTGTGCTGTTGTGTTCTCAAGGTGCAAAAGGCAGTTGAAGAAGAAAATTGTTGCTTTGGGACTCTTGATACCTGGTTGTTATATAAGCTCACAAAAGGTAAAGATGACATGATAGATCTATCTTAATTAACTGAAATTTGACTGAGAGAAGGTGATTTACCTAAAAAAAGTAGAAGTTACTTTCCCCCCTTTTTTTCCTTCCCATATCCTAGATACACTGTTCTTTGGTACCTAAAAACTACAAGTTGCAGTAAAGCTAGATTTATTTCAGATTTGTTGTAAGAAGAGGGTGATTTTAAAATCATGATGAAACCTCACATATAAGACTAGGGAGTAGTCTTGATTTCAAGAGTGGTAAGATGAGTTCAGTGCCAAATCTGCCACGTTGCAACTGGATGTAACTATGACCCATCACATAGCATCTTCTCTTTCCTCATCTTTAAACTGGGTATCATAAAGTGACAATGTGTATGAAAGTGTTTTTGTAAACTGTAAAAGTTCATACAGATTAAGTGGAAAATTGCTTTGGAGACTTCACATTGGAAATATACATTTTGGAATGAATTTGAGGACAGATAATCATCTAGATTACAAACTAGGGATAGGTATTGATTTATACTACCTGATAATAAATGTATTATTTCCAATGTGAATTTAGGTTCTGAATATGCGACGGATTTTTCACATGCCAGCACAACAGGACTTTTTGATCCATGATTTATACTACCTGATAATAAATGTATTATTTCCAATGTGAATTTAGGTTCTGAATATGCCACGGATTTTTCACATGCCAGCACAACAGGACTTTTTGATCCATATGAGGTAAAAAGTTTTTCTTCTTCTTTTTGAATCACCAATTTTTGTGTAATTTAGGTTGGATTTTTAAACTTTTTAAAAATTAATTTATTTTTAATCAACAAATAAAACTTGTATATATTTATCATGTATTATGTGATGTTTTGAAATATGTGTATAGGTTTGAAATATGTGAAAATGTATATTCTGATGATATATTTTTATGCTCAGATGTGTTGGAGTGGGTTCATTACCTCCCTGCTTTCGATACCACTCTCTATCCTGCCTCCTGTGAGGGACACAAGGTAATAATAACATCAGACATAGAAACCAAGCAAAATTGTCCTTCAATTCATTTTGCTTTGGTAGGGAAAAGTATTTATTACATGTTTGAGGTGCTTGTATGTTCATTACGTAACTTTTTGGCCTATGCTAAAAACTATTTTCTGAATTTTAGGATAAATATTTCTAGAACTATAACTAAATTTTTAATCAATTTTATTTGAAGCCATAATTTTGGATCAGTGGATGAAGAGATCTTTGGTGTGCCTATACCAATAGCTGCCTTGGTAAGTAGAAAACTTGAGGTTTTTTCTTTGTATAGGATAAACTAAATGAATATATGTGAATAGTCAATACTAGCTTTAAGAGAAATAAAAGGTCCTTGGCAGAAGAAAATTAAATTATCTTTTTTTTTCTTTTAAGTTAAAGGCCCTGGATATAACTAGAAATATCCTCTGTATTCTGGAAAGGGGACCACTGGGCCAGTCTTCTACCATGGAAGCACTTTATAACCTTTTCTGACCTACCTATATATTGTTTTTCAGAAAACTGTTAAATTTTTTAATGATGTTGTATTCTGAGTAATGTTTGGTTTATATTTGATACTCATACAAAAAACAGTGATGGGGCCAGTGCTTAGTTTATATTCAATACAGTATAACCATGAACATTAATAGGACAATTTAAAGGAGAAAATTGTGTTTACCTTTTATAACATTTACATTTTATGGCATCTACTGGTATAGAAGCTTGTGGAAGAATGAAAAAATTTGATGTTTTTGATTTATAAGGGTCCTTTCTTGATTATAATCTCTCTGGCTAGATGAGAGCGTCAGAAGTTGGAGAAGCCCTAGAATTTGCCACCTGATTAATAGGCTGTGTGGAAACTCAGATGTTGCTTTTGATTTCCTGTAACAGCTTAAGCAGGAAGTATAGACCACCTGTCCCCAGATGGCGGGTCTCCACAGCAGCTGGGGGAGCAGGCAAGGGAAAGGAAATTTATTCCCAAGTTACAAATTCATGGTCATTTAAAGAGTGTCATTCTTATTCCATCTAGAGATAGGTTCAGAGTTAAATTAAGGTGTAGCTGGAAGATTTATAGATTATTAAGGGTTCTTTAGATGAGTTTTGGTCCTTAACTTATTGTTGTAGATGTATCTACAATTAACTATATGAACCAAATGTTATAATTTTTTCAACAAAAATGTATGGTTGGGAAATGGATGGTTTTGACTTAACATCTATTTATATTTAGACATACACCTATCTTAGTAAAAGAGAAATTTGTAAGGTCAGTTATTTTGACTGAAGAATGAAACCTCTGTAAGATGAAAATGAAAAATCTTAGTTTTTTTTTTCTTTATAGTTTTTATCCTGACTTTCATTTTTAAGATTATTTATATGATACTTAAAAGTTATGAAATCGGTTGCCCATTAAAAATTTCTGAGGCATGTTAGTTATTTACACAATGTTAACCCTAGACAGATTCTTACATAGTTGTTGCTACCTACTCTCTTTGGCTTCTTTTTTTTTTTTTTTAATTTAAGGAAGAGGACCAAAGAAAATAAAATGTTAATTATTTGAAGAGAATGAGTGGATATAATGAAATTGGCAACTGCTAAGGGCAGTAGGTCTTACATTTGAACATTTTTGGTAGGTTGCTGACCAGCAATCAGCCATGTTTGGAGAGTGCTGCTTCCAGACAGGAGATGTGAAATTAACCATGGGAACTGGGACTTTTTTGAATATTAATACTGGAAATAACCCTCAACAGACTGTCGGAGGTAAGTAGTTAGAATTTATCCTGTTTTTAATAAAATATCACTTCTATTCATATTTAACTTTTAAGATACTTTTACTATTTTCTCATTTTTCATTAAGGATATTAACACCATTCATTATTATTCTTAGAGATAGTTAATCTCCATTTTCTTTTTATTTTCTTCAAATTAAAAGCATAAAAAAACAAGAAAGATGTTATAGAAAAATTCAGAAGAATTAGGATATTTTAATCAGCTTTTTGAATATTTTTATCTGTAAGACGAAAGACAAAAAAAAAAAAAAAAAAAAAAAGACAAATTGGTAAAAACAATTTGTAGCATGTGTCAGAAAAATCAATAAAATGACAAAAATGGACAAAGGACAGAAGTACAGTTATTTCATAAGTAGATGACTATTATGAAATGCTGTCCACATTCAGTAATCAAAGAAATACACATTTAAAAATATTATCCATCATTATCTATTACCATTCTATTGTCATGGATTAGGAAGTTGGATGATGCTCAGCATTGGGGGAAATATATAGAAAAGAGTATTTTTGTTTTTCATTGGGATGAGTGTTAATTAATATGGCCTTTTCAGAGGACAATCGGGCAATATTTATTGGTTTATAAAGTGCAGGCCCTTTGCCCTCAGTTCTATTCTTTTTTTGTGTCTGTGAAAATAATTATACAGGTGTGCAGACATGTGTACACACGTGGGTGGGTGTTTAATATAGCTATTAGAAATAAGTTCTGTCCAATAATAAAGCATACTCATAGGGTAGAACATTATACAGTCACTTAAAAATAGTAGTGATTATATATCTTATTGACATGGGACATTGTCTATGACACATTAAGTTAGGGAGTTACAGAAGCAGCTACAGAGTAGCCTGTGTACATATTTCTTGCATGTCTGTGATGATTAAATTATGGTGCACGCTGTGACTCTCTACTGTGCTGATTTGAACTGAGCTCAGTTTTCAGAGACAAAGATAGTTCTATGGATAGAAACACACTCTAGGAGGAAAACATACTCTAGGAGGAAAATGCCAACTGATATTTCCTTTCTTTCTTTTTCTCTTTCTTTTTCTTTGAGCCTGCATCTGTACTATAAGCATAAGATTACTTACTGAAAAAACATGTTTAGCATTTAAAAATCTCTTCCTTCTTAAATGTGTTTCTTTTAATATTCTGGACATGTATCTTTAGATAACTCTAGATTATCAAAAACAAAAAATATGGGTTACATATTTCTTCTCTTTTAGTTACATCTTTTATTAATTTTACTCCTTCACAGAAGATGCAAAGAAAAGGCAGGATAGTTAATTTTACATTCATAAGTTAAAGAAAAAAAATCATTCCTGAGTTCCCTATGACATCATCTGCACGTTATCAATGGGAATCATTTCCACTGTTTATCTAGGTTGATTCATTGTGATTCTCAGATGGTGAAAACTCTTCTCTGGGAGGTAGGACTAAATGGTCCTGACCTTGAACAGTGGTGTGATTTCTGCACAAGCCCTTTTTGATGGCCTGGTCGCATCTCTGGTAGAAAAATGAGACTGTTTGTCTAACTGAAGGGAGAGAAAATACAGAGTTGAATTATTTACCCTAAAATTTTTATCATTGGCATAGCTAAATATTACTGGTATGTGTTTATCTAAAATTCTCACAAAAAGAAAATATTTATTTGAATATATCTCTTTCTGAGAATTCACTTTAATGGGTATATTAGGAAAAAAAGCTAAACTATATTCAGCTAAACTTAATATACACAGTATATTAAGATTGTGAGTTACCTTGTCATTTCCTTGAAGATGTGTCAACTCTGTAGGCTCTGAGTTTTGTTTTGTTTTTTTCCTTTTTTGTCTTTTTTACTGACCAGTAAGGGGATCGCAACCCTCGGTGTCACGCCCGCACTGCGCTCAGCCAGTGAGCGGGAACCGGTCTCCACATGGGATCCGAACCCTCGGTGGGAGCGACGCCGCGCTCCAAAGCGGCGCACCCTCCAGTGCGCCACCCGGCCGGCCCGGCTCTGAGTTTTTATGTCTGTGTAACATACTAGGCCTGTTCCACTCTGGATGGTGGCTTTCTTCCACCCCTCTACTAGGTTAAACATCTCAGGCTCAGGTATAAAAACTGTTTTAAACCTGTCTCATCTTGATTTTTATATTTGCTTTTAAAATCTTTTTCATACTTTCTCACTTTGTTTTTTCTTTAGCCTCCTATGTTAACTGCCACATTTGGGAGCCCACATGATCATCTCTTTTCTTTTTAATTTGATCCATTTCTGCTCCTTTTTACTCTTCCTTCTATTTTATCTCAATCTTATAAATATTTTCATGTTTTCCAGCATTTATACAATTAACAAGTAATTGAAAGTTCAGTATGTGCTTGGAACTGTATGTGCTAGGAAGACACAAAAGTGATAGTCCCTGCCCTCATGGAGGTTACAGTCTAGCAGGAAAGGCATACATTAAATCCACAATTGAAAAAACAGGTGGGTCTGGGCCAGCCAGTGGCTCACTCGGGAGAGTGTGGTGCTGATAACACCAAGGCCACGGGTTCGGATCCCATATAGGGATGGCCGGTTGGCTCACTGGGTGAGCGTGGTGCTGATAACACCAAGTCAAGGGTTAAGATCCCCTTACCGGTCATCTTTTTAAAAAAAATAAAAAAATAAAAAAATAAAGAAAGAAAAAACAGGCGGGTCTGAGTGGTGTTTACAAGTAATTGATCACAACCAGTTACAGATTTCTTTGTTCCTTTTCTACTCCCACTGCTTCACTTGACTTGCCTAAAAACAAACAAACAAAAAATGTTAGTGTTAAGTGCTAGGAAGGAGAAGTAGTAGCAGGATCAGTGATCCCTTTCTGAAGGGAAGACTTTGTCTAGTCTGGAGAATCAGAAGGCTTCTTTAAAGAAGTAACATTCAGCCGAACTCTGAAGGGAGACTAACAAGTGGCTGGGCTGGTGGAGGAGGCAGTTGTTCAAGAGTAGTCCAGGCAGAGAGGATCGGTACGGGAGGCTCTGAGCAAGGAGGAGCAGGACATATTCAAGGAACTGGAAGAATGCCCTATTTCTAGTCTACAGTTGAGGCAGTTTCCATCTCTGCTGTCCTTTAGTAGCAAGGGCCAGGGGACATCTTTGCCTTAGCAGTATCACTTTTAATTGCTATGTGTCACATCTGCCTGCTCCAGGCAATTGCCATGAGACTTGTAGTACACATTTAAAATTACCCAGGACTCTTGTTTACTAGAAATAAAGGAAACTGGTTTATTCTCTCTGGTGACCTTCCCAAGAGAGATACAGTCTCCCTCATTAAAGGGGATGAGATAAGCATTCTCGTTCTTTTTTTTTTTTTTAAAGATGACCAGTAAGGGGATCTTTACCCTTGACTTGGTGTTGTCAGCACCACGCTCACCCAGTGAGCTGACCGGCCATCCCTATATGGGATCCGAACCCGGGGCCTTGGTGTTATCAGCACCGCACTCTCCCGAGTGAGCCACGAGCCGGCCCAAGCATTCTCGTTCTAAGTGATGGTGAATAGTTACATGTGACACAGTGAGTAGGGATTCAGGGAAGATGGTGGTCTTAGTTCATGGCTCTGCCCGATGACACAGTAAGACAATTATGGCTCACTGCTGGAGTTGGCGTGGAGCTCAAACATGAACGAAGCCTTGAGTTCCCAAGTAGACTGTGCGGACAAAGAGTCTGTGGAGGGCATCTTCTGAATGTTACTGGTGAAAATACTAGTGGCTGGTAAGGACCCTTTTGATGTTCTCTAGGGGTGCAGGCTGCTGAGCCAAGAGAAAATCCCTTCAGCATGTGGAGAGAGAGCTGGCCTGGTCCGTCCCTGAGAGAGCCTGCTAACAGTGGACATCAGTACTGCTTGGTCTGAACTGCTCCCTTTCCAGCTGCAGGGAGAGGCCTAATCTTTCACACTCATACCTAGAGAAACCCAGGAGCTGAGGATATTCACTCCCTTACCTCCAACTACCTACCAATCCCAAAAGCCTAACCTGAAAGAGAGCACAAAGTATTTAAGAGCATACCTTGAAGGAAGGTGACCAAGCTCAGTAAACCAAACAGATGGCTCCTACAGAGGCAGATGGAATGGAAGAAACAGAAGATTAAAACAACAACAAAAGAAAACGAAAAACCTAGTGAAAACTCTTAAAGGGATGAAAGAAAATATGGCAAAGAAATTTTGGAAAACATGAGCTTTAAAGAACAAAAGCCATGATATATAAAATGTAAAAACATTAATAAAAGGTAGAATGGACAGTGCTGAAAACCTGCATAGGAATCAGGAAGAATTTAAAATTTAAAAGCAAAACGGAAAGAAGTAGAAAATAAAACTGAAAGGTAAGAGATATAGGGGAAAGGTCAGAGAAAAAAATGTGATCAATAGTCTCTTTTCTGGAATATGCTTTTCCAGAAAGAAGAAAACTAATTGATGAAAATGTAATAATTGGAGAAATAATTGAAAACAAACTTCCCTGAGCTGAAGAAAGACCTGAGTTTTCAGTCCGAGATGGCTTACCAAGTTAAAAAAATAAAGGGACACAAACTTAGACACTCACGTGTATGAATTATTTGAATCCCAAGGATAAAGTAAAGCTTCAAGACAGGAAGAACAATTTATTTATAAAGAAAAAATAATCAAACTGGCATGGAAGTTATTGTAACATTTGGAAAGTAGAACAATATCTACACAATACAGAGATAAAAGGACAACGAGCCAATATTCTGGTGCCTGTCTAAGAAGATATCATTCACACTAAGTACAAAGGGACATTTCTTGGCCATGTAGTATATTCTGAGGAAATTATCCAAGGAGATATTCCAGCCAAAAGGAAATACAACAAAGATCTTAAAATGGAGAAAGCAAAGTGTACGAAGATGTTTTTCAGATTTTTTTTAAGGATTTTTTTTTTTTTTTGGCTGATGGTAGGCCAACCTTCCCTTCGTTCTGTTTTATTTGCTGGTCTTATGCCTAACAGATTTAAGTTTTT